TGTACTTGTTGATGTTTCTTTTATACATTTTTATTTGTAATTTTTCTCGCTTGTTGAGAAGTTGAGAATATTAAGTTAAAAAAATACTTTTCATCACTGACTATTTTTGTGTTTTGATTTTTCATGGATAAGTTGTCGTTCTTGTTCACCGATAGCTCCGTATATGACATTTCTGCGACGATATTTTCGTGCTCGACACAACTGCGTGCGACACTTCTGTACAAGGCGTGGACGAATGTGAGTGACTCTGAATGTGAGTATTCGTTTAGCTCTCTCTTCTCTTTCAACTGCAGCCGTACACATCCTGTAACATTGCAGGAGATGTCAGTACCATCTAAGCGGTGTCTGTAGCACCCAAGTTGATATCTACGTATACCATCTCAGATAATGTCTGTATGACACAGTGGGAGCTTTCGCATAAGCAGTTGGACAGACTGTTCTTTTTGCTCAGAAATGGCTTCCTGCTGCTTAGAAATAATCGTATACCACTCAGGGAGCCGTCTTTAAGAAAATAGAAGATTTTTTTGGAAAACAAATTTTCGAAAAAATGTGGCTCGGGGATACATCAACCAGATTTATTCCATTTTCGCCGAAAAAATTTTTCGCCGAAGACGAATTTAGCCGAAAAGAAAATTTCACCGAAGGAAATTCGCCGAAAAAAAAGTTCACCGATTCTATTTTCGCCGAAAGAATTCGGTCACCGAAAACAAATATAAGTTGAGCTTGATCATGTAAATAACAATTCTATTGAGACAATTAATCGATTCTATCAAGTCAGTTAAATCCTACTTGAGATGGCTTCCATGTCGGTTAAATTGACTACCAAGTCAGATGGTAGCCAACTGAGTTGGTAGCCATCTGACTTGGCAGCCATCTGACTTGGTAGCCATCTGACTTGGTAGGATGGGTGTGGCTTGAGGATGTGGATCTTTAATTCGCATCGACAACCATAACCACACCTACATCCCACACCTACCCTACCAAGTCAGATGGCTACCAAGCCAGTTGGTTACCAAGTCAGTTGGCTACCAAGTCAGTTGGCTACCAACTCAAATGGTTACCATCTGACTTGATAGCCAACTGAGTTGGTAGCCATCTGACTTGCTAGGATGGGCGTGGCTTGAAGATGTGGATCTTTAATTTGCATCGGCAACGATAACCGCACCCACACTCACACTCCACACTCACAGTCACGCCCTCACATCCACTCCCTCACACCCACACCTACATCCCACACCCACTCGACCAAGTCAGATGGCTGCCAAGTCAGATGGCTACCAACTCAGATGGCTACCAACTCAGTTGGCTACCATCTGACTTGGTAGTCAATTTAACCGACATGGAAGCCATCTCAAGTAGGATTTGACTGACTTGATAGGATCGATTTATTGTCTCAATAGAATTGTTATATGCATGATCAAGCTCAACTTATATTTTTTCGGTGACCAAGTTCTTTCGGCGAAAATAGAATCGGTGACCTTTTTTTTCGGCGAACTTCTTTTCGGCGAATTTCTTTTCGGCGAAATTCGTCTTCGGCGAAAAATTTTTTCGGCGAAAATGGAATTTACCCATCAACCATACTTTTTTCGAAAAATGTTTTTTTCAAAAATATGTTGAGCTATGTATCATTCGACGTAGTTTAATGCGCTGATTCCGAATATCACCTTAGGTTGTCTTCAAAGTGTAATATGAATGTTAAAAACCGGATTTCCGGTGAAACCAGTAGCTTTCGGCCAAATTTCGCAAAATTGACTTTCACGAAAATGACTCTTTTTATGTATGGTCTGATGCAGCTCGACGAGCTGATTCTGAATATCACCTTAGTTCCTCATCAAAGTCTATCAGAGACGTCTAAAACCGAATTTTCGCCTGTAGACCTCGGATTTTTTTTGGGCACCCTCTAAAATAGCCTAGAAAAGGTTTTATGAGTTGGCGCTACTATAGTAATTAGGATACATGTGTGTGTATATGTGGTAAAAGTGCACGCTTGATCAGACGTGATCCCTTTGTAGGCTTTTTAATATACAGAACGGTAGGTTTTCGGCATAGAGACTCTTTGTTTTCTACTCTATATTAAATTGGATTATGATAATTTTCTTTTGCCATAAATTTTATAGGTGAGCAAGTTTTTTGCGATATTGTTTGCTGATAGAATATTGTGTTATATTGCCGAGCGGCTTGACTTTCTTTATTTATGCTGATTTCTGGACCCAAGCCTTAGCAGGCTCTTTTCTTGAGCTCTATAATACTTTGAGAACTGATATTTTAGGAAATGATAGATCACATATGTATGTTAGGGGTGTGAATTTATTGTTATTGTTATTAATAACAATAACAAAAAAGTTATTGTTGTCAATAACAAATAACAAAAAAGTTATTGTTATTAATAACAATAACAAAAAAAGTTATTTGTTATTAATAACAAAAAATAACAAATAACTTTTTTTTTCCGAAAAATCTTAGTTATGCTTTGNTGCCTCATCCTTTGTGATCTAGTACTATGAGCACAAATGATAACAAAAAAAAAAGTGTTATCAAAAATTTATTATCATATTATTATTTGAAGTATGATCAAATAGCATAGCAAAATAGAGCACTCTTTTCTCTATTAGACTATATAGAAAGAAAGTTTTTTTTAAGCTTACTATATGGCTATGTAACGTCGTGATCAGAACTTTTGGTACACCCTAAGTATGGCAGTGTAGGATAAACTTTTGACATTCACAACTCGTAGTTTCAACGAAAGACGTATATGCATTTTTTCCATCTTTATTCCCCAACACTGAACCTTCATCAATATAGTATCTTAAGATTTTCATTTTTGAATATAGGCCTGTAACTGTTTAGTTAAATTATTTAATAAAATAACTGAAGAACATTTTTAAGACAACGCTTGAGTAAACGTCTTTCAAAAATTTGAATCTTAATGCTTCAGAAATTTGTCAAAGCGGCTGTTATGACATGCGTCTACTGTACTGTCTGATTTTTAGTAGAGTCTATTTAACGAAATGAAGTTTCTAATATGATGTTGCCCATACTATGAATATGTCTGATTATCCATTGTTTATTGTCATAAAACGATTTGGTGAAATTTTTTCTAAGTTTTATATTCTTTTTCTTTCCATTATTAGGTGGTCTACACTAATGAATGAGACAATTTAGTTTAAGAAATATGACTTCCTAAGAAATTTCATTGTGCTCTAAATATATGATGAGGATAGATTTTGAAAATTGAATTAATTACCGTGGTTTCAGAATATCTTTCAGATTTGTCAAGTTACTGGTTTCTTATCAGCTTTTATTTTTTGAACCAAATGGACTAGCAGTTTTTTCTTATTTAGACTGTTTTAATAATATCAGTTCATTGTGAAGGCATGATCTAGCGTCCGAAGATACATCAGCTATTGACTACTGTCGGGTCGGATGTTCCAATCCACATTCTGTCTACTATTTTTATTCTTCTCCTGTTTTACAGACTAGTCTGAACGGACTAGATGAGCAAATGGACTAAACATGACGATGCTCAAGGACGCTTTGGACTAGTCAGGACGTGATCGAAGGACATTTCTTATCACCATAACTAGTCATGACGCACAGAGAAGACGTTTCAGATTAGACCTCGCGGGTGTTCCAGACTTTTCGGATTAGTCATGTCGCCTGACATCATTCATTTTTTTTGCTTACTTGGGAATGGTTTAATCAATAAATCGAGTCTTTCAACTTTGATCGAAAGAAAAAATGTCGAAAACTGAGTTGGAAACTTCTAAGTATTTTCTTGTTGTGAAAATTGAAAAACCAAGTAGCTTAATTCGAATAAAATATTTATTATATTAAACAAAAACACAATTAAAAACAAGCCAAACATATACTTTGAAACACCAGTTCATCGATCATCAACAATGTTCTCATTGTATAGTTAAACTTCTTTTTCTGCGAGTTAAAGCAAACTGTTTAGGAGATTAAATGGTATTTTTCGTGTGTTTTTCTACTTCGATGCTGGCGCCAGTGTTGATTAAAATAAAGAGTACAGTTGCATCCACAATTCTTATTCACGCCATCACTTACTTTCAGCTGCCCATATTCACTTTCACCCACACTCATCTACATCCATATTTAATCCTTTCGATGGTTTTTTTACTTTCGACATTTTAGTTTCGACACTTTTACGTTCGATCAAAGTTGAGTTTGCCAAGAAATCTTCAAGAATAGCAAACTCATCAATTAAAAGTACTTCAAGAGTTTTGTCAAAAGACAAGCAAACTGCTTTTGTTTTTGGTTGTAACCGAATAATTTATTGTATCGTTATCAATAATTGTTGATGTCTTGATATCTCAAAGAGTGTTTTCACCAATCTGACTATAAATACTCTTCAATGCAAGCTGATCAAATAATAAACACCACATAAAAATTCAAAGGTGATGCAGTCATCTATTGTTGTCGCTTTCTGGCTCATCGTCGGCTTAATCAGCTTCAGCATCAGTGCTACAATTCATGCTGATCCAACAAATGTCGGCATCGATATAGCTATTCCTCGCGATTACACACGACAACAATATATGAAATCGATCATTGACTTTTGGACTCCAGAACGCACGGCTTCAGTAATATCGGCTGAGCCAATTATTACTAAAATGCAGCGTGTGCCTTTCTCCGGTAACGATAAATACAGTGGAGTCGAACGAATTTTGACGCCGAGTACCTTTGCAGAAGGCATTCGCAATGCAAAGCCTACAGCAGCTGGCAGAGCTTTCTTTGTGATGAATGACAAAACCTACGTGTGCTCTGGTTCAGTAGTCAACGCTGCAAATCGCGACACAGTCGTTACAGCCGGTCATTGTGTCGTCAATACTACCAATAAAGAATGAGCATCCAAATAAGTTTTCATTCCTCAATATCATTCCGGTGAACGTCCTGTAGGCACTTTTGCTGGAAGTTATTTGGCAACGAAAAAGCAATATATCGACAAAGCCGATTATAATTTTGATGTTGCAATTGTTACAATGGATGTGAACGAAGAGGGTGACCATATTCAAGACGTAGTAGTTGCCTTCGGTATTTCTCTCAATGCATCGACAAAATCAGAAGTAAATGCATTCGGTTTCCCGATGAATATAAACAATGGTGAAACGATGAGCACTTGTGCCGGTACGTCAGCAAAACCATCACTTTTTCTGATGCCTTCCTTCAGTGGTATGCAGATTAAATGTGGCATGGGTGGAGGTTCATCTGGTGGTCCATGGCTTCAAAAATTCAACTCTAATACTCTATCAGGCGAGAAAGTCTCAGTGACCAGCTTCTCGTATGCATTGGCACCTGTTAAAATGCATGGCCCACATTTTAATGAGGGCAATATTGGCTCACTTTTTCTTGAAAATCAACATAACTAATTCTTTCCTCTCCACTATGCATGCTATTTTATTCTTAACTCTTAAATTGTAGTTTTCCTATCAATTACCACTATCAAGACACTTTCAAATCGAAAATAAAGCTTTAAAAATCACGATAAGATGCTTTTCCTTAACAGTACACTTCACAAATAAAAGTAGAGTTAAGCATACATGTATAGTAGTCCAATTACTTAGCACTCGATTTCTTTCAATCTATGCTATAGGTTTCCATGAGATGTTATCGATGCACCGAGACAGCAATATTCTTATTACAAAAATGACGGAATGATGAAGAATATTAGTCTTTGCGTCAAATATCCAACGATCAAACGAGATTATGTCAACTGATCATCGATATTTTTCAAGATTAAATTGTGTTTTTATCTGATTTATTGATTGTCTTATCGTCAAAATCTCTTTTTTTTTCTTTGTGGTATAGATTCGATGGTCTTTTCTGTCGCCAGTGTTCTTTTTTGGTCAACTTAGAATACGTGTCTTCCAGGGATTACGCATAGTTTTGTTCGGGTCACATTTATGTCGAGATATGTCAATTCATAGATTAATTTCTACCAAGTTTCAAGTTTCAACCCACGCCATAGATTATAGGTTCACAAAGCCATTTCTGAGTGTGAGTCGAGAACTTATAGCTTGCTCAATTGTTGGCAGCGTAATGGATGAACAACACTCTTGGTTTAAATGAATGAACTAAGAATAGTTTTCTTTGTCGGGTAAAGTACTTGCGTGGTGAAGTTTTTCAGTGTGACTCTGATTGACCATTCATAACAGCGTATGAAGTATAATTGTACATATTCTTTTCTATACTGAGTTGTGACTAGCAATCTGAGTTTCAGATTGTCTATTGCATTTTTAACGCACCAATAGATGTTTTATAGACTTATTTTATCAAGAAAATAAAAACGAGAGGTTTTGATTAAATAGGACAAAAAGTAGAACCCATAGAGTACATTAAATTAATATATGTGATGGACTGAAAGAGACACGGCTCAACCGAGAAACTCATCAAATAAGAATAAAAATGATGCTTCATCCATACCCATGTACTGACTGATGATTCAGAGTGAGAGTCATCGGTGAGTGAAAACGCTCCAATCAGGAACATATCTCGACTCTGTGTAATGCCTATTTCACTTCTTCCCCATTATTATACTGGAGTTCTTTCGCATAAGAATCTGTTGTAGGAGAGTGTTTTTGTGCAAAGCGTGGGGACTCAACATGATAACACATTCGAAGATAAGGTCAAGTTGTGATTCTGAGTCGATCGACGTCGTTTTTCACAATGCGTTTGGAGCATGAAAAATGTCTGAAGATTTCTTTGTCCATGCAACAAAAGGTACACTATTTCTGGATCCATATTCGAAAAGTATACACTTTTGCTTCTAACTCATCGTTTTTACTCTTTTGAAATACATTCATATGAGCGAAAAACAAGTAAATATTTTGGCTCAAAACTTTTGAACCAGCCGTTAGACGTTCTAGAGAAACTGTGAGAATAAGTTCACATTGATATATCTCATGATCGAATGTTAATTCATTGAATGCCGCATAAAACCAACGTGCAATGAGTGCTCAGGTCTTCAAAACTTGTCTGAAACATTTTCGATGCTGTATTACAGTGAAATTCATTGCTCAAATGCAAAACTATCATTTTGAACATCTGACGGATGCATCTGTAGCAGGCTCATATATGTCTTTCATTGAGAGTAATTTCAGGATGATTAATTCAAGTTGAGCAAGAACATACCTACCTGTCAGTCCTGCTTTTCTTTTCTTGCGATAGAAAGGAGGAACACTTTTTGTCAATATTTCGCAACGACAATTAGTCGTAGAAATAATTATGACAGATTGAGAACAATCCATCATATCCTTTATATCGACTACAATACCTTAGATGCTTTTCTTGTTTTTTGATTGAAATATGTTCTGCTTCTCATTGCATTAATCTAGATCATCTATAGAGAAATCCATGAAGTGCATCAATACATTATCTTGTCTGTTGATCAAGAAAACATTTTTAAAGAAAGCCAATAGATCTCTTGTCATATTTGGTCCGTTGACAGAAAAAGCAATCAGTCAAGCATAGCTTCTCATCGACTCATTTTAATTAAGAGCAGCTCAATGAGAAACATGGCACGACATTCTTTTAAAACTATCGAACATTTTCATAGATTCGCCCATAAATAAATAATATTAGTTGAAATGAAGCTTAGAAAAATTCTTTCGATAAACTTTAATGTTCGTGAACATTTTCATAGTGACAAGAGAGAAAGAATAGATGATGAAATCCATCCACACAACTACATAGCAATAACCTGATAAGACTATAAAATTGACCATGCACAATTCTGATATCACTCAAGAGGTGCAAAAACATTATCGTAAAGATGTCATTGATACAACTGGCGCGTTTAATGGCGTTCGATGATGAATGATCTGTCAAAAGAATTTGAAAAAACCTTGCAGTAAAAGAGCGAGCATTGACATAGTGTTGGCAAGAAAGTTTGTGCAAGGTCATGATGATAAATGGCAATAGAAAGTTGAAAAATCCACAACGAATCGTCGTTGTTCGGTTCAATTATTGAAGACACATTAAATTCAGTAAATACTATACAGGTTGTAACAAATATTGAATTTTCATCGGCTTATAATATATAGTTCAATACTTTCTTGAATCCGAAGATGCTCATGAATGTCTTTCAGTTAAGTGAGTTAATTAATGCGACGTCAATCATTGATATCAAAATCACGTCTTTGAATGACTGTTTTTTTAATCATTTGTTTCGAAAAACAAAAATGCTTGACTTACATGTAGCTCAAAATATTTTCTGTTGAATAACCTAGAAATATCAGAAATATTGCTTAGTTTCGTTAAGTTATTGAAGAAATTCCTAAAACATAATCGAAATGATCTGAATTATGTCCCAACGAGAGAACCAGTTCAAGAAGCTTGTTACATATGGCATAACTCTGACTATTCCAGCAGAAATTGCTTTCGTCGAATTTTCTAATATCAATTGAAAATTCAAAATGTCTTTCATGGGTTCTGAAAGCAGGGCTGCCATATATATCTCATTTTGAGTTTTAAACTTTTTCTGGCATAAACTTGTCTATAATTAAAATAAGATGCGATTTTCAATAGCATTATTGACCTCACTATAGAGATATTCATAGTGACCAATATTGGTGAAAATTTGACCAACGATTATTGGCATCTATTTTGATTCCATGCTCACTTACTTCAGATGCCAGTTTCATACTCGATCGAGTTTCAACTTTTTTAGTGGCAAAAACCAAAAGAAATTGTGATAAAATACCAAAACTTATTTCTTATGTGTAGTCAATTCTTTGTTTTAATGCAATTACAGAAGGTAGTTTTTGTCTTATAAAGCATTTATAGACAACTAGTTGAGATTCAATGCTAAATGATACTTTACGTGCTGAGTAAAAAATAAGATTAAATCGTTAGTTGAAATGTAGTGAGTTTTTGCATTAATACAACATGAACCGGAATTGATGAAACATTTTGGAATAAAAAAAAAAGTATAACGATGTACAACGAACTTGTTCTGAATGATTTCAGTATTTAGCACGTTTTAATAAATAACTTTGTATTGTTTTCTAGGATGAAATTATTACGAACGAAACAGGAGCAGAGCCTTTTGTATATCCACGATTGACTATTTCAGACATTGTTGTTTTATTATTCAGTTGTGTTTTTTTTATGGCTATTCCTGATAAGTCAATCAAGACAACCCTTTGTAACTCTTCTCCACTATGAACAAGTAGCGTCTGCATTTGATCAATTAAATAAACTTTTGAAATATCATGTTGTTTGGGATAACACGAGGACCATGTCAATCTTTTAGAGAGTTATAACATAGAAGCGGAACTACGGTGTGGTGTTGTCGATTGTTTAGAACGCTCTTTCAGTATGCAAAAATACAAGGAATATATTCAATCATTAGCATATGATTGTTCATGTGTTATTATTCTACGAAAGTGAGTTATGTTCAACTTATTCATTCATGATAGAGCTAAAATTTCATGTGAATCGAGTTCTTATATCTCAGCAGAATGAGTTTCTAAAGGAAGTATACCCATAATGGAAATAAATGATGAAATACGATCTAACTGTTATGGGTTGATATTAATCACGACAAAAGAAATTGGTTTATTGTACATTAGACAATTTAATTTCTGAATTATTTTCAACCATTTCGAACATACCAAAGCTGGATGCTTTAGAAATATAACCATTTTGACATGAATGGATTAAATAAGTGGCTAAGCAAACATTCCTGATCATTACAAGCAATATATGTAGAGATGGATTGGCTTAGCTAAAAGTGCATTGAGCTGGTCCTTAAAATGAACTAGATATCCAAATTTAAAGCCATAAAAATGATTTTTCATTGTTATCTCTGACCATTTTTGACTACCATACGTCTAATTGAAATATGAAAATTAGAAAAAAAAACATTTTTATTAAATTGTAATAGAAAGCTGGTGGATTTACTGAGTATTATTCCATCAAGAGACATACCAATCAATATTATTTGATATTAATGACAACACTAATCTTAATCGATTAAGATACAATAAAAAAAACCATTGGCAGCGTTATACCAAAATTTCTTAGTAAAATTTGAAAGACGTTTTTCAATAGCTGAACTCATTGTATAACAAAAAAAAACATCTAGGCCTTGAAGATAAAATTCATTTGGTGTTATATAAAAAATAAAATATTTAATTTAAGCAAATTATAGCTGAAAGCTAGACAATAGTCATTTTTTGTAAACGACTTTAAACTTCTTTTACTTGTAGTAATGCGATATTTCTACAAAATATAATCGATGAAAATGATTAAATAATCATATTGATGCGTTGTTTGAGTAAATTTTCCTCAGTGAACATAGAAAGATGTATACAAAGGAAGCTATAGCCATAAAACACAAATAATTATATATGATATATTGATGTTGATTAGTCAATCAAGGTGACAGATAGAACAACAAGTATTACTTTTGTTTTTGTTCTCACAGTAAGTCTCAAAATCTGGATGGATACACATTTCATACTTACGGAGAAAATGAGCAAGACATAACTTCTTTCTAGGTTACTTGTTATATTTCTAAAGACGATAACAATCTATTTTGAAGAAAATATCATCTACGTTTTATTTGATTAATCATACGCCATCGGATTGTTTCTATTGTTATTTTTTTTCTTATTATCCATATTGATGATGTTAATAAATTATGTTGTAAGGAATGACTTATAATAAAAATTTAAAAAAAAGGAAAATATATGCTTCAGTATAAATCTAAAAAGATATCAAGTGATCCTTACTTAATTAATGAATGTTGTGATTATTCAAGATGGCATGTTATGGATATGGTAGGATACGTCGTGGAGATTTGTGAAACAACTCAAAAGTGTTTCGACTTTGGTTTTTTCATTTAAAGAATTTTTTTGTCAAAACTTGAAAAGATATAAAAAAATGTATTCGCATAAGAAACGTCATTATCACATGAAGCGTTTAAAAAAAATGGCAATTAGAGAATTACAATAAGCACCAGAATCCGTAGGTCAATGGCGATAATTTTATCATAATACTTCTTGTGTGCTACTTTTTGATTATGTAAGCAATTTTATCTTCGAAAACCTTCTAATCAATATTGAAAATATGTAGTTTATGAAAACGAATAAAATATTCTCGTTCTATTATCAATAAAAATATTTTTAATTAATCATCGATTTATTGTAAAGACTCAAACGGAATGTTTTACTGTTTCAGACAGTCATTTTCTAGCAGATATAATATTCGCATGTTTTTACTATCAAAATAAATATGAATACAATCTTTATTCATCATATTATGACATCTAATTTATGTTGAAAGACAAAATTAGGTTAATTTGATTAATATTTCAAAAAATAGTGGAACTATATGAATAATAGCTGAGAAAAAGATCATTTTGGATTTATCAATTCTATTAGTCTTGTCATAATTCAAATAATTTTCTCAGTGACGAAAACTTAATATGAGCAATATAGGATAGAATACCTTTGTGTTATTTAACATTCTATCGAATGTATAAAAATAAGTTCAAAAGATATTTCTCTAATTTCTTTTAAATAATTAATTTGCCTATCATTTTGTTCTTTTTTTTTTCGATCTGATTTTACAGCCTTCTAATTTTTAAGCATGAAAGAAAACAATTAACAATGATTAATGAAGTTTTTCAGCCTACGAAGAAGATTTTTCTACTGATGTAATTAACGTTACATTAGCCAGTGAGATAAATCAACATTTGTTTTGAATGACTTGTTTTAGTGTATCGCTCTATATCACAGCAATTTTATATTCACAGTTTTCAATAGAAAATCATTGACTGATGTGTGACCAGGACAACTGTCAGATGAAAATTGAGAATAATGTTAAATGAACGAAGAACATTGGATGAAGAAGTAAGTGAATAAGAACATCTGACCGTGGCAAATGAAAAATAAATCACATAATGAATCAATATACGCGTATAACAATAGTAGAGAGATTTTTGCTGATGTCTAGTACTATCGCAACGGCTTATAGGTCGTCTTTATTAGTAAAAAGCAATTTCTATTTATCCAAGATTTGCAAATATATTAGACAAATCGATAAACATGATTGTTCATATGATACCAAGTTATCTATAATGCATTAATAAAAGCTGGATTTTCGAATATTTATTGAAAATTAGCAATTTGAAAAGACAAGCATTCTTCTACAATAATTAAAGTCAATACATCCTTAATAACTTTTCTTTGAGAACAAAGAACAAACACAAATAGCTCTTAATGCTTTTTTTTCTGCATTGTTTTTCATTCATAATGTCCAATTACCATGAATAGGGCTCGGGTAGGGGTATGGTTGTGAGTAGAATAACAGCCTCACCGTCGCCCCACAAACTCAATATGACAGTGAGAATCTTTCTGACTAAATGCTATTAAAATGACTTGATCGTTGATGTACATACGTAATCAATATATATGAACAGAGATAGTAGATCACGAAAGAAAGCGATCAAAACTTGTGAATTTCTTGAAAAAATTTCTGAAATCTATTTTATTTAACTCTATTGTGGAACAGCATATGCATGGAATGAAAACTTCGATGTAAGAGACAAATAATAAAAGAAAAGTTTTTGAGTATTTTGATTCAGCATGTGATGAAATTGTACGTTTCCATGAACACATTTCGTTTCACTTAGATCGAGGTTAAATCTATTTGTTTGCCAATAAATGGTGTTCGACCAACATAACCTTGATGAGCATGAGCTTGCTTGCTTTCATCTGTTGCTATGGCTTGTTTCCAAGAATCAAGACTTGACCATACCGCTATGTTAAAAAATGGAAATATCGCATTTTCGTCTAAGACTTTATAAACCGTCGCACGTTTATAGCCCATACCTTAAATAAATAAAATACTTACTAAACGGTCCTCTCTCCCTCTCTCCAGCGCTTGAAACTACTTACATGAAGACATGTACGGCGTTGCTTTAAACCAATCCTCCGGAAATTCATCTATCTTATGTTTCGGTAAACTAAATGCAATTATGAACACGGTATCATTGTTCACATCACTGGACGTATCTTTGACGCATTCAATTGAAAACAAAAGAGGTGCAAAAATAATATTTTCCACATGACTACCTTTCTTAATGCTCTCGACGATGGTAGTAGAATCGATCTTTCTCAATGTTTCTTCATTATCAACCAAACAAATGCATGCATGTGTCCAACCTTGATCGTTACTTGTGGTTATAGACTCGTAAATAGTGGTACTGCCCCAGGATGATAAAACGGATAGTACTGTTGCATTGCTATGAGTATCCATGGATTTGAATAATACAAGAAGTAATGCTTGAGGTGTAGAAACGGGCATCACTCGGAAAAAAATAATTAAGAATCAAGATTAGTTACAGTAGAGAATATATTGAGGTCTTAGATCGACTTTTTTCTGCCTTTATATTCAACTTCAATAAAACTCAATTTCTTTTATTTTACCAAAATGATTCGACAAAACAATGCAATCGCATTTTGTTTTTCTGCATTTCGATTGGTGCAAAATATTTCGCCAATCGTAAAGAAGCTCTTATGTTGTCACTGCTGTATAATAGTAACTAAATAGTGTTAGTTTCTTTGAAAAAATAGAAAGATGCGCCAATATGTCTTATGCATAGTTGTGTCAGAACTAAGAGTCGTCAAAGAAGGTTGCATTATCTTGACTAATTTTTCTTTATTAATTAGTATTACCATGCTTTCTCTCTCTCACATTTTAAATGTACATTGTCATTTTTACTTTGGTGTCTTTTTAAATACTCAGCGAGATAATATTTTGGGATGATTCGTCTGTACATTGATTATTGTGACAATGCGATGAGTAATAACGTAAAGATTAATTGTTCAAAAAATGTTGCTACCACGTATGCTTATTATTTCAGTGTTGAAAATTCATGCGAAGAGAACATGATATCGATAGAACGACTACACAGTTATCTAATACAAATATTCAGCTTGAACCTATCCATGTTAATTACAAAGAACTTTCAATCCAATAGAGTATATATCAATGTATAAGAACGTTGGAAAAACTGACTGCGCCATGTAGCACCTATGGAACAGCAAGTTACTATGCTGTTGATGTCGAACTGATAAATTCAGTTTTAAACATGATCAGCAAAGGCAGACAATCTTATAATATAACAACAAATCGGCTGCGCGTTAGGTATTGATCAAGTCTGGGCACTCCTGTGATCTCTGTGTGATGAATATCCATTTTCAAGTTACGTTTTTTTGTCTTTTGACAATTATATGTCGAAATGTATATTAATGCAGTATTGATGCCTTAGGTTATAAAACATGACAACGAAACGTTTTGTTTTGACAACAAATTCTTATTTAATATTGGCTTTCACCTATAGAAAATAAAATAGCCCAGTCAAAAGAAAAAAATCTTAACGAGTTTATTGAAACAATGATCTGCAGTGTCACTAGACATTTACCAAATTCAAACTATTTGGATTTTATTAGTTCAGATCGTTCTCTATTCCTATATAAAATTGTAGCCGACACAACTGAGGATGTGGGAGTACGTGAGGCTGATGCTGGTTATCGGTAATCTCTTCAGTCGCATCCAACAGCGATACTCAAACTTACGCCCATACCATTATTATCAGAAAGCCTCGTAAACAAAACCCCAGATATTCGTACGGATAAGACTTCAACGCATCTTTCTATGAGAAAAAACGCGCTTTTTTCTCTATTTAAAAGCCAAGTTTTCTAAAAGAAAGTAGGGACGTAGTTGTGAATGTAAGTATGAGAGGCGAGAATATCAACATCTACACCTACATTCACCTTATCAGTTGTTTTACATAAAAGAAACAGTAATGGATCTTTACACTTCAGCAAAATGATCTTGGAGAAATGTACTAAGAGCAGGAAAGTGTTCGATTTTCCTTCAAGTAGTCTTCTAATCGATAGTCGAATAGCTTAAAATCATGGTGATAGATTTTTTTCAAACGACAGATAAGTTGATCTGGCAAGTTGCTGTACATTAATTGGTATTGATTTGTAGTTCGGCCGGTCGAAAAACGACGATCGAACTGCCAATCAGTCGGTGCCAGATTTATACGTGACATAAGAATATCGAGATCAGCTTGTATTGTTTCGTACTTGCCAATAAAATTATATTTGAGTGCACATGGCTGACATAAGGACGAATAGGGTTGCCAATGAACATCCATCAAGTTTAAATTGGAGGTGATGTGTTCGAGAAAATGTTGAAAGGAGGGCACGACTTTTGCACATGGTTCATCAGACATCTGTGGAATTATTCTCCTCCGATGATAAAAAGTGGTTTCATTGGGTTTCAAATAGAATGAAGCAAATTTTCGACAAATTATCCGACGAATATCGTCATAGAGTGAGAAAGCGGGAGCTTGAAGAGACATAATTTTGTCAGTGTAAGCCGATGCCAGACGTTCTAATGGATGGCGAACAAAGATGACACGAGTAAAATTAGCTGACATAAAAAGAGACCTATCAGGAAGAGAGCGGAGGCGAATTAAAGGAAAGACTTTGTTTTGGTACATTTTCCATAGGTCCAATGGAGAGGTATGGGATGTATTGCGTAAACGTGATTGAAACGATGAGAGAATCGAAAGACGATCACTGATAGGTAATTGAGAATTATTCTAAAAAGTACAACATTCAAGGTTGAACCAGAATAAACAGTTAAAAAAATGGTCTGTTGAACAAAGTTTATGTACAGAGACAGTTCTCATGTGAAACGAAAAAATATTTCAGATACGGGTAGGACTCATGAAAATACGTTCTTCCCCTTAATTTTTAGAATCTACTTTCACGTCTCATTGTTAGCGAGCGGGGAACACTAGAAATTCGACAGACTTTTATAGAAAACCAATCAAATCAAAGAGAACGAATAAAAAACTGTTTGATTCTCTTAAGTTTGATCGACTTGTCACGAGAATCTAGCGAGTGACTAGGTTTCCTAGCTTTCTGATGTTTCTCACTACCAGAACATATTTTCAAGCAATCTCTCGCTGAAAAACTCCATCAATTGACCCGATCCGATTGTTGAGATGAAGTTTTAGTTTATACTTTCCCTTCTCTTTGGCTCCTATACGAAGAAGTGATGTTTGAAACTAACTTACTTCACTTATAACAAAATAATCACAACGCAATGTTTTCTATTTAAATATCAAATATGGCAAGAGCGTATCATATCAATCTCTATTAACTAATACAAGAATAATAGAAACTAGGCTGAGAAAAATGAGTTGATTAATTGGTACTGGACATCGAAAAACGAAATAAAGTACTAAAGAAGAGATTCGTTGTATACATAATAGAATTTCACAATATCATTGGAATCATCATGCGTCACAAGTCTATATGACAGCAATGAAAAATTTTCGATAGCATATTTTTTCACTTCAATATGAGTGTAATTGGAGTGTTGTCAAGAGGGATTTTGCAGAATGAATTTCAAGTGTCTCAAAATCGTTCTTTTTGATTGACTAGAAAGTCAGACAAAATTGTTTGCTTGCTATAAAAAAAATATGGCTTCCCCTTTCACATCAAGATCCTAAATTTGACTTTTTGATTATTATGCTAGAGAATATGGTGACTTCTACGTAACCATGCTTTTCTTGAGACAACACACAGATATTACGAGTTTCTATGCTAATTAACTTTTACTATTGCAGAATGATTTGCCACAAGAGATTACAATACCTACACAATCTAAATTTACGAGAAAAATTGGTTAGCAATGATAATCAGTTTTTCAAAATATTTCTGAAGACAGTCTTCTCTCGATGTGGAGTATACGGACGATAGACTTCATGCTCGCATCAACCGTGTTAATTTTTTTTATTCCTCTTGCTCATCGTATTTTGTTTTTTGCTTTTTTTATGCTTATGCAATTTTGATTCCCACTCAAAAACAAAACTGAACAGAGGAGACGACAAATATACACTACTTTCATCTGGGAAAAATAACAGCGAGAAGAAACGAGAGAGAGCAATCGATTTTGTCTTACCACAGTTGAAGATGACAACATTTGATTTAAATAGTCAGCATTGAATAGACGTAAATTGTTCGTTTTTAGTCTATGTTTTTGCTTATCAGTAACATTAGACATGAGCACAGCAGTAAGATCATTGCGCACATGAAGATAGGTGATAAAAGTCAGAAAAGTTCGCGTTGCTACTTTGGGGACAGAGCAATAGAAGAGAGAATGGGAGCGAAGAACAAAGCCCAAATAATCGAGCATAGCATTGCGACGAATAAGGTACTGAAGATTTGAACGATGGAAGCCTTCATCATTGCATTTGTCCGCAAGTAATTTAACACGTTGTTGATAGAGAAGCGGGTGAGAGAACGCACATGAATTCAAAACTTGAGTGGTGACAGGAGCTATCAAAACTTTTCGAGGCGCAGTTGAAACTTCACTCAGTAGGTTGCCTATTCAATCGCAGAAAATGAGAGAAGAGAATTGTCATCAAAATAGCCCAAATAGATTCAATGAAAATTACCTGTTCTTAAACTGAGCATGACGAAGGCGAGAGTACCAACCAAATAGGTGAAGGCAATGAATATTTTCTTATGAGCAAACACCCACAAAGTGAAATAATCCAATATACTCATGTTGATATCTTCTTTTTTTCAAAGTTCCGTTAAAATACTACAGAATATAATTACATGCTGTGCTGTATATTTATTTTTTTTTTCTTCCCTTCTCGTTCCGCAAACAAGACTTCGACGGAAAGACGCGAAATATGAAGGTAACGAAAAAACGCTTTTTACCCTACTTGAATGAACAGGACAGAAAAAGAATTCATTGTCAGTGTTGACTATAAAAAAAAGCGCGAAAAAGATTGT